CACTCGCCTGGAAGTACACAGGTAAACAAGAATGTATACACAAACCACAAACCTAAACAATGTATGAATGTATTTTGACCAGCTTGTTATTTTACAGTAGTGACACTCGGGGACATCAAGAGAAAGGTTGGGGGGCATTTATAAAGGTTGTGCTTGTATATGAGCAGTGATTAGGAGCTAAGCCTCTCAGGTTGGCCCACATCTCACTAGCAACAGAGATTTAAAAACAGAGCAGCTTTACTTAGATGGTGTCAGTGAGCTACAGCCATTGATATGGTGAAAACACACAGCTGGTTATGTGGCAGTGGCTCTCTTTGTACAGTAGTATATTTAGAGGTGACAATATGCATAAATCTACTTGCATTGAATGCTATGCATGTTTATTATAATACATAAAAGTATAAACATACAGGTTAATCTCATGTGTTCAGGTTACATTTAACTGCAAAATACACACACACACACACACACACACACACACAAAGAGACCTATAACCCAATTAGTGTACAAGTATAAGCTTGAAGAAAACAAACAAACAAACAAAGACACACACATCAGATATATATAGTATCTCTGATAGTCGTGTGTGTGTGTGTGTGTGCGCAGACGATGCCTCTGATTCCACTGAGCCGATTGGCCCCCAGACTGAGACGCAGTGTTGAAGGACTGAACCTGGAGCTGGAGGGAGTCTTTGTGTCTGAAACGGCAAAGGAACAGCACAAAGTCAGTGTGTATTTGTTTGTATGCGTGTTTCTGATGTACACTTTCAGTCTCACAATCATCTGAAACCCGTGTGATTTTGTGTGCGTTTAGATTCTCGACGTACCAGATGGTCACAGAGCCCCCGTCCCAGCTCAAAGGTACAGCAGCGCTTCACAGAGTGACCCTTCTCCTGCCCAGCTGTCCCCCTCACACTCTCCCTGCACCATCACAGACACCGGTCAGTATATGTATAAACATAGAAACAGACTTTATAAAGTCTATATTTCATGTTCCATGTCAAATTGAGAGACAAGACAGCCAAAGATGGATGTGCTCAGAGTCTAACGGTTAAAAAATAGCACAAACTGAACTCGCTCTTAGGTACATCATTCATATTTTATCAACACATGAGAGGAAGGTCTGTGTGAAACTGTTAATTGTGTAATATGCTTTTGGCTGATGACTGTCGTTATTGGGCTATGTGTGTTGTGTTTAGATATGGTTGTGTGCGGGCCGCTCTGTCTGCCTTCCTCCCCTCCCCTATGTATTTCGGAGCCACCATCTTCTTCTCCTCGTCCCAACAAGACGTACGTCTTTCAGAGAGAACCTCCAGAGGGCTGCGAGAGAGTACGTGTGTCTGAGGAGGCCATGTAAGTTTAGCACAAACACAAACCGCTGCATGTGTTAGGAAATACACATAAAACTGTAACACTTTATGGACCAATTCTCACTACTAACTAGTTGCTTATTAGCATGCATTTTACTACCTTATTGGCTGTTTATTAGTACTTATAAAAGCACATATCAATGCCGTATTCTGCATGACCATATTTTAGATCCCTTAATCCACGCCATACCTAAACTTAACCAACTAGTTTAGGAGTTTTTTGAGGCAAAAGCCATAGTTAATATAGTGAGACTTGGTCTCCAAAAGTGTGAGCTATAAAACATATTAAATAGGGATGTCAGCACATTAATATAGTCTTATTAATAGTGATAAGAAAATAATACAAGACTATTCTATATTCTTGTCTGCCACAATAATATAATTTACATAAGGCCTCTTCTCAGCAAATATTGATAATTTGAAAAGATTATTCAGTTGACATTCATCTAATTAATCTGCATATCATGAAGTTAATTTAAATGAGTTATTTCATCAACCAATCTCTACTTTTTTAGCATTCCCTGTCATGTAAATGCCCTGCAACCTTAAAAAAATTTTTTTATTAAATAAATAAGAATGATCTTATATTTTTCTTTTCATTGTCTGTATTCTCTCGGTTGTATATCAGTGTAGTATAAGCTGTTTTCAGCAGTGGTTAGTACAGGCCATGGGTGACTTGTTGGACTTCCAAAAATGGCATGGAAGCCTATTTAGCAGGAGTTTTGTTTGGAGCAACAGTCTTTATGATTATGACTGCATACACAAAGCATGGCAAGACTTCATCAGCGAAGATGAAAAGCAGTCGAAAACCGAAAGTGAATGATAGGGACTGTCAAACACTAAGAAGGATATTTTCATGACAGTTAAAGGGGTCATATGATGTTGCTAAAAAGAACATTATTTTGTGTATTCGGTGTAATGAAATGTGTTTATGCGGTTTAAGGTTCAAAAAACACATTATTTTCCACATACTGTACATTATTGTTTCTCCTCTATGCCCCGCCTTTCTGAAACACGTCTGGCCCAAAACATCATATAAAAAAGATCATTGTTAATAAAACAAAATGCAGTATGACAACATGCATTATTTAAAAAATGATTTATTATTGATATACTATTATAATGATATACTATTATGACTTGAATACTAACATATGCAGTTAATTTCATTGAATCATCAATCAATCTAAATTCTTTTCAGCCTTCTCTGTCTTGGAAATGCTCCTCTTCAGCCTTCATGTCCTGACCCTAACAAGGTGAATTTCACACCTCACGGTGGCTCCGCCTTCTGTCCTGTCAGTCTCCTCAAGCCCCTCCTCCCTTCAATGGACCTGTTATTTCGTGGCCTGTCTGTTTCACCCGTCACTGGCTGTTCGGCTCAAAGTGCTGCCCCCTGCCAGACACCGGGACATGCTGTGGGTGGTTATTTGAGCGGCACCCTCCCAGACCCTACCACCACCTCTCTGTGAATGGAGGACATTCATGACGAGAAAAGAAAAACTAAAGATTGTTATGCCTTTGTCCCATCTCATCGGCGACTTTGACATTAAAGCGTCTCAAAGAGAAGAAACTGCTCATGCCATCCACGCGGTATCTGATTTGTTTTGATCGGCACAGAGAGGGGGAAAAAATCATGAGGGGAGAACAAAACTATGGTGGACTCTCTCCAATGTGATTTGTCTGTGACCTTTTGACCTCAGGACACTCCACTTGGCACTTGTGATCATTTCGTTTCACGTTATAGCATTTAACTATTGCTATATTTGTTCTAATTTCTATAAAACAATACTGATGACTATTCTTCTATATCTTTAGCTCTGTCAGAAGAGTCATTCTGAACATTCACTATCATATATCAGACAGATTATAAAACATATGTGCTATAAGCCTGACCCACTGCATGATGGTTTTACAGAGCGTGGATCAATCAGAAACACGTGTTTCTTAATTCAGTATTTACAGACACGGGTCTTTACTGCATGCTGGACTTTTTTACCAACACAAAAGAGGCAGTAATAGACCAGAGAGTCTCTCATCAGCTGTTCATTATAGTGGCATTTCATTTGAACGGCTGACCAAGGTTTTGAAGGCTGGGTTTGTTTTGAATACTCTCAGCATGTCTGTTTAGTAGTTCAGAATATATACATTTAGACATCATTAAGCAGTAGGTGTTTAATAAATGTCTCCAAATGTTCAGTGAAGAGCAATTATTCATAAAGTCATCTTACAGAGCTTGTCAAAAAAATGTCCCGATCATATTTCACCACCAATCAAATGAAAAAAAGAAAGAATACATTTGTATTAAGATTTTTTTTTTCATTGTGTCATAATAGTAGGACGAGTAAGCGCATATTGTTACTGTATTAAAGTTAAAAAGTAAAGAAAGATTTGTATATATATATATATGTATGAAATAGGTACTAAGATAGACTTGATTCTTTTTCTATTTTATCTTTTGAGTTTGGATTGAAATATGATGGGGATATTTTCTCAATAGGTTTTGTGAGATTCACCGGTCCAGAGAAACTGTTTACAGTTGTAATTTAATAAGGGAAAGGCAGAGGCCATTATTGCTTGTTTATTCTGAGGTCTTCATGTGTTGTGGGCCGCTGACATTTAAATTTGGTGTAAGACAAGAATACCGACGGGACCCCATTAAGGGTTTATTTCGCTACGCACTTGATAAGTCTGCTGTATGTTTTACTGAATTTCACTTCAGACTTGACTACTAATCTTACCCACAGTGGTCATATTGTTCAGTTCATTTGAGCACCAAGCTGTTATACAAACACTCTACATAAGACACAAGCAAGTTTGCTGCATTCAGCTACAATATGTGCATATCATACAGAACGAGACTTCCAGCAAATTATTGTTTGCTGACATTTAAAGCACTGTTATTATCCCATATGTTTGCATGGATCTTGGCATCATCCATTCAGTTTTTTAAGTTCTCACTTGTTGCCTTGTTCTGTAAGGGTGCTGTTTTAATTACATTGTTCTCAGATTCTTTTTCTTGAGTACAGTTATTGTACACCAAACCTGTTTTATCCTATATATTGTACATTTATGTTACTCAATTTTGGCTGCCATAAATGAGAAGCGCAGAGAATTAAGAGTGTGGTCGCTGTTCTGTATATCAGCTTAATAATTATGCATTCTTAAGCATAAGTATCTATCTATCTATCTATCTATCTATCTGTCTGTCTATACATACATACATATTACAATGAAATATACATTTATATGTGTCCATTTAAATTGAACACTTGGAATTCTAGAATATTTGCATGAACGAGAGACGTACACGTGATGCTTGCGGAGGAACTCTATGCCCCGCCCTCTTAAAGATTCCAGCCCTGTGATTCGCTGCATGTCGTGAGCTTTTGCCTATTTGGACCAATCCAAGTAATACACATACCGCTACGTAAAAATCCTACCTGCTTATTAAGAAAGGCCCCACATATTTGTTTACAGGGACTTGTATCTAATGCCCAAATAAAGTTAAAGCCGCATGCTGTCGGTATAATGGACAAAAACATAGATTGAGCCGAAAACTTGAGCTGGGAGGGAAGTCAACGCGATTTAGCAAATAAAGACATGCCCGTGGCGTAAAACTGTATTTTAAATCTGTCTTCGTTACAGGCATATCCGCAGAGTAGCTGGAGTTCCTCGGGTCCTTCTCCTCTAGTGTCATTTGACGCGTCAAACGAAAACATTTATTAGAGGATGCCCTAGCAGTAGTTATCATCTGCTGTTACTAAATGTCAGAAACAGACCGTTAACTCAGCATCTCGAGTACAGAATTACTTAGACCTTTGAGGCTTCCTCGCAATATCCGGAAACAAAAGACGCAGTTTTACCTGCATTCGCTTACACCTCATTTTCAGGATGCGGCTAACGTTATTTGGACACAGTTAGCGCGCGGTTCATTTACATGATTGATCTGTAAATACAATAAAACACAAATAAACGTAGGGTAATAAGAGCGGACGTGGCTTTAACACTATAGATGTAACACCAGAGGAAGGAGAGCCTCGTCATCAGAACAGAGAATCTAGAGTCGCGTCATCATTTCCGGGCTACCGATCGCCGGTAGAGTGGATCGGGACGCAGGAGCGCGGGGTACGGGGAGCGGAGCGGTGTCCGTGTCCATACCGAGACTGCTGGACGATAGCATGGCCGCCGGGAAGGCAGCGAGCAAACCGTCTCTCTGGCAGAACGAACGGCTCCGGTTCATCGTCTGTTTCTGCGGGGTGTTCGTGTGTTACTTTTACTATGGGATACTGCAGGAGACAATGTGAGTACCTAGATTTAACGAGATATTGCATTTCTATATATATTTTTTTTTTCATTTGAGTTACACTCCTCAGTTACTATTATCGCCATAAATTACTCTCTGCCTATGTGGTTGCAACAGTAAGTAGAGAGAGAGAGAGAGAGAGGAAACGTCCCTTTAGCCTCTCTGCATTCTGTCCAGTAAATGAAGTGTACTATGGTAAAGATGTGCAGTCTTACAGCTCACTTGTCAGTCTCTTTCAGAGATAGAGCACTGTTTTATCACACACTGTTGTTTTATTGTTCTCTATAAATGGCAAGCTGCTTTAGCATGTATTCCTTTAAACCAGTGGTTCTCAGCCTTTCGGTTCATCGTCTGTTTCTGCGGGGTGTTCGTGTGTTACTTTTACTATGGGATACTGCAGGAGACAATGTGAGTACCTAGATTTATTTAACGAGATATTGCATTTCTATATATATATATTTTTTTCATTTGAGTTACACTCCTCAGTTGCTATTATCGCCATAAATTACTCTCTGCCTATGTGGTTGCAACAGTAAGTAGAGAGAGAGAGAGGAAACGTCCCTTTAGCCTCTCTGCATTCTGTCCAGTAAATGAAGTGTACTATGGTAAAGATGTGCAGTCTTACAGCTCACTTGTCAGTCTCTTTCAGAGATAGAGCACTGTTTTATCACACACTGTTGTTTTATTGTTCTCTATAAATGGCAAGCTGCTTTAGCATGTATTCCTTTAAACCAGTGGTTCTCAGCCTTTTTGACTACAAAGCCCCTCTTTGTTTAGAAATATATTTGCAAAATAAGCCCCTTCTGAGCTGATATGTACCTCTGGTGCTTTTATTGTAAAAAAAGAAACACAAATATATTGTCAGTGAAATGTTTACATATTTATATTAGTGTTTTTTGCGATTATATTCATATAAATAACTTGTAAAAAATCAAGACGTATTTGGGCCCCCTGGTAAAGAACCACTGCTTTAAACTAGCTAGTATCTACTAGCATAATATAATGTAATATAGTATTAGTGTAGTTACTAGTAAGTTATCAAGGAGTCTCTATTGCAATTTTGTTAGTAACTCTTCATTAGATACCAGTCAGAAGTTCCCCAAAGAATTCATTTAGTATGTTCTCCAGTTGTTGCTGGAACCTTTACTGATTTTACTAGTAATTATTCATTAGTCACTAGTGCTTGTATGAATATTTAGACTGCCGTATCGATCCCAGTTGTTAGGTACTAGTAACATTTATTATCTTACTCGTTACAGCTTTTTTATTTGTAATATGTGACCATGGACCACAAAACCAGTCATAAGGGTCAATTTTTCGAAATTGGGATTTATACATCATCTGAAAGCTAAATAAATAAGCTTTCCATTGATGTATGGTTTGTTAGGATAGGACAATATTTGTCAGAGATACAACTATTTGAAAATCTAGAATCTGAGGGTGCAAAAAAAAAAATATATATATATTGAGAAATTCGCCTTTAAAGTTGTCCAAATTAAGTTCTTAGCAATGCATATTACTAATCAAAAATTAAGTTTTAATATATTTACGGTAGGAAATTTACAAAATATCTTCATGGAACATGATGTTTACTTAATATCCTAATGATTTTTGGCATAAAAGAAAAATCAATAATTTTGACCCATACAATGTATTTTTGGCTATTGCTACAAATATCCCCCAGCGACTTAAGACTGGTTTTGTGCTCCAGGGTCACATATGTGAGAATGACTACATTAGAGTTCAATTGAAAATCTTAATAGTAAGTTAATTTAAAATATTACTACAAGTATCTAGAATGACACAGTAGTGTTTAATAAATATGCAACCGGTGTCTATTCAGCTAGTACTAGAACAACTGGACTTTGTTATATTTAGAAGAACTAAGAGGAAACTACAGAATAAGTACTAGTAAGTGATGATTTTTAAAACAAAATTGGAATATATTGGAAATATATATTAGTTAGAACTTAGAAGTGAATAGTTATCTGAACCACAGATATCATAGCCAAGACGATGTCAGCAAACAAGTTTCAGGTCAGGAGGTTTTTCTTTGTGTGTCTTTAAGTAACACCACCCAGCACAATGTCTTTTTCCTTTTGAAATCTGGGGATAGTTTGTCTCACATGAGCAAGCAGTGATTTTCTTTTCAGATTATATTGCCATGTTTTTAAACTCTAGACACACCGTTTTCTTTCAGCATCAAATATTTTTTATCAAGCGCTTAAATTAGTCGCTGCTGTAAACAACAATTTCTTCCCCAGCCACTGTTGGTTATTTTAACCTCCAGTGATTATTAAGTCTCCTTGTTCCACACCGCTGTTCCCTTCAGTCCCACAATTCAATGCCTCTGTATTCTGTTTCATCCAGCACACGAGGAGACTACAGTCACGCGGGGAAGACGGAGAAGTTTCGTTATGCCACCACACTAGTCTTCATCCAGTGTGTCATCAATGCCGCTTTCGCCAGACTCTGTGAGTCAAACCTGCAGATGTTCTGATTGCATGTGTGGAGATCATGTGTGTCGTAGTGATTGGGTGGCAACATGTTATAGCACCACTTTTTGTTGCTGCAGGTGTTTAAAATCTGAATTACAAGTAACTTTGCTTGCTCTCTATTTTGTGTTTGTAGTGATTCTGGTTTTTGAGAGCTCAAAGCAGGACCACACGAGAAGCTGGCTGTATGGCATGTGCTCTCTGTCTTACCTGGGCGCTATGGTGTCCAGTAACTCGGCCCTGCAGTATGTCAACTACCCCACACAGGTCTGCACAGCTCTCTACTTGCGTGTCTCTAGCTGTGTCTCATTTAGAAGGCTGCGCCCTCCGGAGGTCGCATTCGAAGGCTGCATACGTCGTCGAGGCTGTCTCATTTCAGAAAAGCAAGTAGGACACCCCGAATGCGACCTTCGAATGCGACCTTCTTTCACAGGAATTCGGAGGATACATGAGGTGTGTCCTTCGCTGCTACAGATAACCCACAATTCTTTGCGTCGCCGTAAACAACCTGCACTGTGAATTAACATGAACTAACAATGAACAACTGTATTTTCATTAACTAATATGAACAAAGATTAATAAATACTGTGATAAATATATTGTTCATGTTAGTTAATACATTAACTAATGGAACCTCATTGTAAAGTGTTACCGAAATACTTTTAATCAGCAAGGATGCATTAAACTGATCATAAGTGACCGTGAAGACATTTATAATCTTACAAACAATTTCTCTCAAATAAATGCTAAGCATTGATGATGATAATAATAAGAAATGATTCTTGAGCAGCAAATCAGCATATTAGAGTGATTTCTGAAGGATCATGTGACGTTGAAGACTTTAGTAAACAGCTTTGCCATCACAGGAATAAATAGCATTTTAAAATCAAATAGAAAAGTTATTTTTTAAAATTGTAATAATATTTCAGTATTTCACAATATTATATTTTTACTGTATTTTTGATCAAATAAATGCAGCCTTGGTGAACATAAGAGACTTATTAAAAAAAAAAAACCATAAAATATTACTGACCCCAAATGTTTGAATGCTAAAGAGTGGGCCCAGAATTTTTGGACCCTTATTAAGTGTTATTTGGACACACACACACACACACATTTCAGAGCAAATGTATACATATTTAGATATCATTTTTAGTACCCAGCATTATTTCCTCCTAGTTTTTATATTCAAGCAGCACTATGTACCTTTTTCTGTGTTAAAAATTTGCAAAATGTATATAATGAGCGAGTACATCATGAATTCATCTTCCAAACCGCGTTTGTCTTATTCCGAATCACTACGGTACACTTATAATAAGTACTTATATTTGGACTATTGTAGGCTGGTCGGGTCGTCACCGCTGCGGAGTAACACATACCTGCGTGAATCGCCATAGACAAACTTGGAGAAGTAGCTCCGGTTGGAATGTTCTTCCGCGGGATGTGTGCAGTTCTGTTTATTAACCGCTAGAGCGCCAAAAGTTAGCTACATAGTGCTGCTTCAAGTGGTTGTCTTCATGGTTTTGAAACAGTATACTGGTTTTCCTCCAGCAGGGGGAGCTCTGGCTGTATGGTTAGTGTTGCTGTTGTTATTATTTCAGGCCTGACAGAAGCAACCCCGCTGATCTCCAGCAGCTGTTCAGTCTGTCTGCCTCAGCTCTGAAAGGCATCTGTTCCTCACTTTTCATCTTTAATCCCATCACACACATGCAGCAAACTTCCTTCCTTCCAAACCTCTCATTATGAAACCAGAGCCGTCCTGTGGCGCTCTCTGAAGTTATCAGAAATAATGAATAGTTTTTGTAAAGTTTCTCTTTTAACTATGCAAATGCGAAATAATACAGAGTCCAAAATGAACACTCGCCAAGCCCAAATGTGAGTAAAAACCGTCTTTGGCCAGTAAAGTTACTTGCCAACCTCATTAAGGCAAACACTTTTGAATGAGAAACTAACATATGCAAACCATCTACTAAGAAAGTTATCTCTCGCGCTTTCTTTCTGCATAGCTGTGCTTTGGACAGGAGAGGTGTGGGAGTTTTTGTCATTTGCTGACCGCTATCCTGGCATCATCTATAATATCCTTCTGTTCGGTATCACTAGCGCTCTTGGACAGGTAGGTTTGTTGTTTGAATAAAAACCGAACAGCTTCATCATTCATTATGACACCACCGCCTTAATGAGAATGAGGTGATAATGCAGGGTTTTATTCTCTGCATCTTTCTTCACTTAGACTTTCATCTTCATGACTGTGGTGTATTTTGGGCCGCTCACCTGTTCCATCATCACAACGACACGGAAGTTCTTCACCATCCTGGGGTCTGTGCTGCTGTTTGGAAACATCATCAGCCCTATGCAGTGGTTTGGTACCATCCTCATCTTCCTCGGTGAGTGATCTGTTCTCAAAACTATATTATTTATATTGTAATACATTACACACACACACACACTATGATTCAAAAAGAAGTCTCTTGTGCTCACCAAGTCTGCATCAAAAATAATAAGATTGTGAAATATTATTACAAATTAAAATAAAATGACTGCTTTCTATTTGAATGTATTTTAAAATGTAATTTATTCCTGTGATGCAAAGCTGAATTTTCAGTTTCCAGTCTTCAGTGTCACATGATCCTTTAGAAATCATTCTAATATGTTATTACACACACACACACACACTATGATTCAAAAAGAAGTCTCTTGTGCTCACCAAGTCTGCATCAAAAATACAGTAAAAACAATAAGATTGTGAAATATTATTACAAATTAAAATAAAATGACTGCTTTCTATTTGAATGTATTTTAAAATGTAATTTATTCCTGTGATGCAAAGCTGAATTTTCAGTTTCCAGTCTTCAGTGTCACATGATCCTTTAGAAATCATTCTAATATGTTTATTTGCTGCTCAAGAAATATTTCTTATTATTATCAGTGTTGAAAACAGTTGTGCTGCTTAATATTTTTGTGGAAACCATAATTTTTTTTAGGATTCTTTGATGAATAGAATGTTCAAAAGAACAGTGTTTATTTAAAAAAATTAAATTTTGTATCATTACAGATGTCTTAACTATCATCACTTGATAAATTTAATGCGTCCTTTCTGAATAAAAGTATTCATTTCTTAAAAAAAAAAAAAAAAATCTTACTGACCCCAAACATTTGAGCGGTAGTATAAATTAACAATATAAATTATAGATTTTAGTTAACTTAAAAAATAAATACAATTAAAGAAGTTCATTCATAGGTACAATTTATATTTGTTTGCAAACTTCATTTGCAGCGTTTGAGCATAATATTTTTGATTAAAAAAGTTAATTAGAAAAGACACATTCAGTGATGTATGTCCTGGTCGTGTACTTCTGAGCTTGTTAAAGTTTTATAGTTCTATATTGTGCAGTACTAATAATCAGTCCAGAGCTGTATGACCATAGTGAACAGATATATAATAAGCTCAACCATGATTGTGCTCTGTCTTTCAGGCCTTGGACTGGATGCCAAATTTGGAAAGTCTCCTAAGAAGACGACATACTGAAGACTGGAACCCTGTGTGTGTGTGTGTGCATGCATGCCTGCGTTTGAACCCCTGAAACAAACAGACATTTATTCTAAAAACTTTACCACACTAACTCCATCATTGGTATACTTAAGAGATGACGTTTTAGAACTCAAAATATTGTTATGCTGATGTTCTGAACAATTAATTATGGGATATATTTGCCCATCATCTTGCAAAATGGTATCCATGGTAACCGAGGGACAGTGCAAATGTGTGTCTGTACCTAATCATAATCTGCCATGCTCATATGGCGAAATCAGAAAAATAAAGGTTGGATAAAGATCCAATTTAAAACTGTAGTCTATAAAATGTAGACACACCACAGTTGATTGTACTTCCTTGAAGACTCCCTCCAGCAAGGCAACCACTGAATTTTTTTAACTACCCCAATTTAAACTTTTGACACATTTCTATATATACCTCCTAGACATTTGAGAAGTACAGTGAGTTCAGACAGCTGTGGTCTGCCTTAATTGTAGTCTTAATTTAGGCAGTAAATTAAACATCTCATCAGGAAGTGTGTGTGGTGTTTACTTTGTGTATGTAATGCACAAACACCTGTATAGATGAATTATTTGTCAAAACATGGCTTTTTCATACCAGATGTCATATTTATATTCATGTCTCATGTGTCTTGTTTGAAGTCAGCAAAGCAAATGTTTAGAAAGTTGACATATTTATATATATATATATCATCTGCATTATACTACTATCCTTATGTCAGAATAAAAATTGAATTTTATAGATTAATTCTACTCTACATCTTTATGGAACGATCTGTTTGGAATCATAACACGTGTTTAAATAAAAGGGAAACTCGATCATGTTTCTAGAAGATGCTGTTGACCAGCTGTCATCGGGGAACGTCTGCCAAAAACGCTGTTCATGTCTGCCTGCATCATATTCTCATATTCTCGCTCGGTTTGGGGAGAGAAAAACAACCAAATGACATTAAACACACACCCTGAACATGAATGGGTTTGTGGAGTGTCTGTTAAGGCGCTTTCCAAACACTGCTTCCTGAAGCTTCGACACCTTTGCGAATCATCTCTAATCAATCTATATGAATCCATGAACCAGTGGTTTTAATGATTTCTGAACAGTTTTATTCATTCATTTTAATGACACGTTTTTGTATAATTAAAAGGAAGAGTTGTAGCTATCAGTACCTTATTAGCTTAATTAGCCAAGCTCTCCCATAAAACAAACAAAACAAGTCCTACAAATTAATAAAATAACACGCATTATAAAGACACTTCATATTTAATGGTATTAGATGATTTGGTAATTGCATTTAATAGATTCAACTTTCAATTAAATATTTGCAATCGGTTTTGTAATTGGTGTTTTACACACGTTTGAGCAGATTTGTTTTTGTTGTATTTCTGACCAGCAGGCGTCACCAGCGTGTAGCGTTTCGAGCGCTTCGAAAACGTGAATCATTTTGCGAAGCAATTGGTTCAACTGATTCAAAGTCTCGAAAAGCTTTGTTTCTCCTATCACTATTTGAACGCTTGTTGCAGTAGGTGGTACAAAATTACAGAGCCCCGCAAGTGATATTCGTACAAAAGTATCTTGACCACGAATTAAGAATTCCCCACGACTTTTTAATGAAGAAAACGCGGTATTAGTAGTACGTGGCCACGATATAACTTAAACGAGGGAAGGGAACGAATTCTTAACATCAGTGCCGTAGAAGATAATGTATTGGCCTGTCGTGTATTGGCTTGAATGGATTGAACAACAGAAGATGCCGTTGAATTGGATGAAAGGTAGGCTACCTGACGAGAATCAGCCCTCCACCTTCTCATAATCGTGATCGCAATAGAGAACAGTCGCCGTTTGCTTAACAGGAACTCGTGAGGAAAGGTTAATGTGCAATTCAAAGCAGAAAATGAAATTGGAGGGAAACAAACACGGCCGGATGTCAGGAAGGCAATCTGATTAAAAGAGCCAGCAGAGGAGAACTGGCAGCGCAGCTAAACTACATTTCCACACTCACCGTTTGAACAAGCTGCCCTGAGGCTGTCCTGGCTAAAACGACGATGAAGAGCTTTTCTCTACCTCTCTGTTACTATAATCTTATGCTCATTTTTAAGCTGAGCGCTTTTAAGATATGTAAGTGGAATTTTAAGGTGGTTTTGTTAACACATGGAATGAATATAAAGAAGCAAATGCAGGATGATAGAGGCTCTGAAAGTTGAGGAAGTTCAGAGTAAGGTTCAGAAATCTGTGACCCAAAACAATGTTGTATACACAATGTATACATTTGTTAAAATAAATATATACATTATACTTTATATATATATATATATATGTATATATATGTATAAGGGGGGGGGGCGGTAAAAAAAGCTTTTTTTGTAAAAGACCTTTTTAAAAAATAGTCAGATTCCAAAAATTAAGTACTTGTAATTAGGTTAAATTACATTTTAAAATACTTGGCATCAGCTTTTTTATTAATTACATGGTTACATATTATTCACACAAATTTTTCATAATTTATTGATTCTCCCTAATTCCTCTTTTTCATTGTTTAAATGTTACTTTCTAAAATAGCCTGCCGCTTATATACATTCAGAAAGTCTTCCAGTTTTGTGGATATTCACACAAAGACCAGTCGTCAGGTGGCTGTAATTACACACACAATTGAGAGGCCACAGCATTTGACCACTGGATTTACAAAAATCAGTTTAATTTAACAAGTGTTTTCCCAACATTTCAACATTTCATCAACTACTGATGAACACATCAATATTTATTTGAATTATCACTCAGTAGGTTATTTAACCATGTATTACTAGGCCATGTCTTTTGAAGGTTTTTTTTTTCTTTCAAACACATTCAAATGCACAAATTCACATTATTTCTTTTTTACATGTAATGTAGGGATTCTCTCTTTTTTTTTTTTTTGTCAGCCGAATCTCTTTTACCTAATATATTTATTTGAAGTCCCCCCTGAGATTTTAAGATAATAAGATAATAATTAAGTAACATATTTGCATATTCACGGTTCTCTGACATTGGTTAATGGTCACATGACATTTTAGTAAGAGTTTTATTTTGATTGTTGTTATTTTAAAATGATTTATTTTAATTTTACATTTTTATGATTTAATTATTAGCTTTTCATTAAACTCGTGAACCCCCTGCAGTTCCTTCACGAACCCCAGTTGACATAATGTAATGTTTAGTGCACTTCATTATGTTAATAACAAGAAATGTAATATATTTTATTTTTCTTGCATTTTTATATCAATATGGTACGAGATTATCCTATTTAAATCAATGTGATAAACAAGGTAGGTCAAAAGTAATCTAAAAGTAATCAAAAAGTAGTCTGATTATATCACCTGAAATGTGTAATGTAATGGATTACGTTACTAACAACATTTTTTGTAATGTAATTTGGAATCAGTAACGGATTAGAATTTTCATGTAATCTACCCATCTCTCTCTCTCTATGTGTGTGTGTGGGGGGACTTAAACCTGAATACACACCAACTAATGGGGACTTTTGTCACCGTGGGGACCTAAATTGAGGTCCCCATGGGTACAAAAGCTTATAAATCATACAGAATGAGTTTTTTTTTAGATTGTAAAAATGCAGTTTCCTGTGAGGGGTAGGTTTAGGTGTAGGGCGATAGAAAATACAGTTTATACAGTATAAAATCATTATGCCTATGGGGAGTCCCTACAAGGACTCTCTCTCTCTCTCTCTCTCTGTGTGTGTGTGTGTGTGTGTGAAATATGACCCAGACACGTTCTTGACAGACAGATTTTGTTAGACTGACATTTACAACAACACAACTCTTGTCCAGACATCTAAAATGACCCTTTACAAAGTGCACAGAGAACAAATGTAAACTATTTACAGAACAGATCATACAACGAGAAAAACGTGCGCGTGAGTCAAACGTGAACATGTACCTCTTGCACATTTAAAATCATATTTCTTATGAATATTGATAGAAAACACAATTTCGACCTAGAGCGACCTTGTTTCTCGCGTACTACGGTCACTCACTTCTACTGCTTACAAGCACAAGATGATCCTGCAAAGTCCTTTAATGATCTTTCTCGTCTGGGATCAGATATCTGAAATCACTCCAGATAACACTGTAGTGTCCGTGCGAACTCACAAACTGACCCTAGATCAGTTCAGCGATCAATAAGAACAAGCACAGCCCCTTCGAATGGGTATCCACAGCGCCGCCTTTACAAAATACCTCCGTATATAATTAAAATATCATTAATTTATCGGTTTTATTAGCATTTAATTAACATTTAGATTATTACACTGTAAATAAGTATTTATTCACTGAAATGAGAGAACAAACTATGTCAAAGTATAAAATAAGAAAGCAGGCAAACTCTATAAGCCCCCCGCGGACTGTGTCCTCTTCTCTCAGTGCTGGAGCGGATCTGCTAGAGCTCGCCAACGAGCCACGCTTAGTCCCTTTCTTTCTGTACGGTTTTGGGAAATTTTATATCATCTCATCAATCACGATGCTGAGCACGGTCAGCCGGCAACTCAGAAGCCACCCTGCCGTAAGTGAACGATGATTTCTGGACGATTTATCCCGTAAAAAAACGGTGGCAATAAGGCGTAGAAACGCTCCCGGCTAGCGTTAGCGTCCCCGCTGCAAAACGACAGACATGCCGCCAGTCTGGATATGTATACCTCTGAATATGAAATATTTAATCTGAAAATACGTATTGATTAAATTACACGAAATTTTAAACATGGTGATCCCCAGGCTTGGAAAATTAATGGAAGTTATTAAAATAATAAAAGTGTATGGAAATATCTGCTCTCAGTGATTTCATCGGCTAAAATCGCTCGTTTTAGTGCAATCTCAAACTTATTTAGAAATAATAGAGAACCCAGAATAAAAAAAATGCTTTGTGAAGCGAACAAAATGTTCATATTGAGTCACAACTAACAGTTACACGAATATTTCAAAGTGTCAAACCAGTCGCAACTGTCACACCAGTAACGTAAACAACACACTTTCCCCAATGTATTGCACTAGCCACATATATTTATTGCGAGGCTTGATGTAAAAAATTAGGTCAATTTTAAATATAATTTAAATTAAGTGACATTAAAACGAGTGTTATTGTATGTGCTCACTTAACACAAGGAGACCTTGTGTCACGTGACAGCACTGGCTGTCTGCAGCTCAAGGACGAGCGTGTTATAGTAAGGACAGCCAGCGAGCGCGGCCAAATACAATTTTACTTTTAAACAGCTGTAATCTTCGTATTCTTAATATTTCTTTGTTAGTTGGCC